GATGTTCCTCACTGTCCCTCATATTTGTCACTTTTTTGGTGATTCTTTTTAATACTTTATTAAATTTTTATTTACTTTGTTTGCATTTTCTCACTTCTGCCTGTATGTACTTTTTGCCTCTTTCAGTTTCACCTCCTTTCCTGTGATGTTTTTATTTTTTTCCTTCCACTTCTTTCCTGAGTTTTTCTTCTACTTTTATCTCTTTCTGTGACCTCTTCATTTCATCATCCCTGAGCCCTTACAGCTCTGTTTTCTGTCCATCTTTTATATAAGCAATTTAAAACATTCATGGTGAAATGCATGTTCACAGTTTTCATCTGCTTGATTGTACTCTTTTTTCTGGTGAATGGTCATTTATGAATATTGAATATTGAGTAATGAATATTCAGTAAGCATTCATCAGGGTCCTGTTCTCACAATCACTTGAACCTGTGGAGTTTATATTTCAGGAGTACAGGTCATCTATAAGAGATCATTACTTATGTATATCTTAGAAGGTGACAAGTGCTCTAGAGCAGAGTTGAGGAATGGGATAAGTGAGTGTTGGGAAGTGGGCAGTTTTAAAGAGGATGGTCAGGGAAGCCCTCACTAAAATGGTGTCGTTTGCACAATGACTTGATGGAGTTGAGGGAGTGAATGTTAAAGAAAAAATGATCCATGATACTTGTTAAAGACATCAGGCAGGCTTTTTCAAGGGGAGCTGTTGTGGTGGGTGTGGAGACCTCTGCAGTGGGGCCTTGCAGTAGGAGAGAGAACAGACTCAACTCTGAGTACAGCGCGGGCAAGGAGCTGGGGGACCAGGGGACGTCAGTGGGTGGAAAATTACAGAGAGGAGACATTGGGGACAAAATCTAAGAGTGGATTCTGGCTAACCAACCTAACAAGATTCTTGCTGAAGGCAGGCCAGGGTGACCGACCTCATATGGGGCACTGGGGGAGGATGAGAAACCCGAGCAAGGATGATCAGATATAGGGGCTGGCTAAAGCAATTAGCAGAATTCTTGCTACAGTTGGACCATGCAGAGGCAAACATGGAAGTCCAGACGTTTAGCCCTGGTTGAAAAACAGCTCTAGGAAGGCTGAGTAGCATTTGGTCAAGGAGAGAATTTTTGTCACAAGCCACGTGGGTACCTGCAGGAGGAGCATCCAGGTGGAGGGAAGAACACGTGCAAATGCCCTGGGGCGGGAGTTTGCATGCACCTAAAGGATTAGCAAGGGGGCCAGGGAGGGAGGAGTGAAATGAAGTGACTGAGGGGGCGGGTTAAGAGATGAGGCCAGACTGGTCAGGGGAGGGGCAGACCCCCCCTTTGTAGGCCATCGAAATGACTTTGGCCTTTCCCCTGAGTGACATGGGGAGCTGCCATAAAGTCCCTTGCAGTAGAAGAGTGACATGATCTGTCTTGTGTGGCTCCCATCATCTGCTGCTTGGATTTCTCTCCCGTCCCTCTCTCATGTTTACATCGATTATGTCTCCTTCTTGTAGGCCTTGAACTTATCCCTCGACCAGGCTGACTGAGGTTTGATGTGTGGGTGTCTTTGTCCTTCACTGCTCTTCCGCTGTGGCTGAAGCAAGGGGGCGGCGGGGTTCACAGTGGGAGGGCCTGCATGCCTCCCCCTGCTGCAGAGGCTCCTGCTTCCCGCTGCCTGCAGGGACCTCTTGCTGGGGCTGCCTCCTCGGCTCCTCGGGTCCCGAGCAGCTCCATCCAAGCCTGCAGCCGGGGCCGCTGCCCCCGACGTGTGCCCTCACCTGCCAGAAGCCGAGTGCCATGGCCACAGGGCCTTGCTTCAGCTTTCTCCTGCGGGCCCCCGCTGGCTCCTCGCCTTTTTAGCAGGCCTTCCACCTTTTCTTGGTCCTCACCTGTCTCCTTGCTTCACCAAGAATAGAGGCTGTGGGATTATTTCTTGTTCTTTTGGGTGGCTTCCAGGAGGCTGGCACGGGGATGCCGACTTGACACCACCATCTTCAAACCCAGGGTCCAAATTATGGACGTGGTATTTCATTCTGGGGAACCCAAAAGAAAAAAGTTGTGTTGTTTGGTAGTGGCCTTTTCCACTTAGAGAAGAATGAGGTCTCTGAATGGAGTTGGGTGTCGTTTCTGCCCAGAAGGCCAGCGTGGCTGAAACTGGGGTGCGACCAGTACCTTCTCGGTGCTTGTACCAGCCTGAGCTTTGGTTTGCAGCTCAAGACAGCTGTTCTAGGCCCTTCTCCAGACCTGGCTCCTCCGGGCCAGAGAGTCGAGCTGGCCCAGTCATGAGTCCCCATCAGCGGAGCCATGCAGCTGAAGCAGGGTATGTCACCTTGAGTCTTCTCCACGCGTGCAAGTGGGGGTCCTGCATCACTCACGTCTGTATTTCTGGGCCTTTCTCAGGCCCGGGGCCCCCTTGATGCCGTGATGACAGCCATGGCCCTTCTAAAAATTAGCACCTGTGCGTGTGATATTTGCGCCTCGTTCCTGGGATTTGCTCCCATCCTTGAGTCTATGAGTGACCCCTGCTAATGACGTGGGGGATGTATCAGCACCATCCGGAGCCATAGTCTTACTTTCTCCCTGTTGAGAGTTCTAGATGAAAGTTGGGGGCACGTTCTTGGTGAGGTCTTGAGTTTTCCCTTCGTTTTAGTTATTCAAGCTCATTCTGCGCTCCTTTGCCAGAATTAATCAAGCATTGTCTGGGGTGCCTACAACTAATAAGGTGTTATATGTCAATTATCTTTCCATGAAAAACAAAAGAATCGGTTCCTATTACTATGGGCCTTACCTCTTTGTTTAACTGTCTTCTGTTTCTAAAATTCTGTTTCTTAAAAATAAATAAATAATAATAAAAATTTCTGTACCTTGGCTTCTTGGGCTACACTTGGACAAATTCTGTACCCCTTTTTTGTTGGTGGGGATTGAACAGACCTGCCAAACTTACCTACAAATGTTTCATTAATTTTGTATTTCTACTATATTTTCTTTCCTTTTTTTTAAGATTTTATTTATTTATTTGAAGGAGTGAGAGAAAGACAGCGAGCACAAGCAGGGGGTGGGGGGGCGGGTGGACAGAGAGAGAAGCAGCCTCCCCACTGAGCAGGGAGCCCAATGTAGGACTTGATCCCAGGACCCCAAGATCATGACCTGAGTCAAAGGCAGACGCTTCACTGAGTTCCCCAGGCGCCCCTCTACTTATTCTTTCTTAATTAAATCAAAGAATGATTAAAGAGTCCCTTGGGTCATGAAATATTTACTCTGCTTCCTTCCAAGGCACTTTACTTCCTTTTCCTCCTTATGCTATAGGGACCAGGGAAGGAGGGGTTGTCCTGATGTCACGACTATAATATGCCCATCAGTGGTCAGCCCAGATCCGTTCCCATGAGATTAACTGACAGTGTGATTAGATAGGATCAGAGTGTCCCAAGTGCTGCCATGTCGTGTAAGTGATAAAGTTCATGAAATTGTTTTGGCTCATTTTATTACTTGATACTAGTCAAATCAATTTTTAAAAATATACCAGTGAATTTAAATTTTTAAACATTAGACTTCTATTTGATTTGGGTTGTACAAGTAATAGAATTAATTTTAATTAAATTTAAAAGTTAAATTATTTCAGAGGACTTTTAGTCTAAATTAAACCATGAGAGACTATGGACTCAGAAACAAACTGAGGGTTTTAGAGAGGAGGGGGTTGGGGGGAATGGGTTAGCCTGGTGATGGGTATTAAAGAGGGTACATATTGAATGGAGCACTGGGTGTTATATGCAAACAGTGAACCATGGAACACTACATCCAAAAAAATAAATAAATAGGGAAAAAAATTATTGGCTTATGCACTTTTTATGGGGGAGAGGAAACAAAAACAAAATACTTGCTCATTTAAGGGACACAGACTTCTTCCTGCTCCCCAAATTCTTCAGACTGTGAGAACTTGGTACAAGTTCTTTCACTGGGTGACTAGAGGAAATAAGATTTAAACACCAATAGGACAGATGGTTTTTAATGCTTTGATCTGCAGGCCCCTTTTAATTTTGCTGTATTTCTTTTTTTTTTTTTTTTTTGGTTTGGTTGTCAGTAATTTGCAGCCATCATATTACCATTTGACAGCAGTTGTGCTACGTTTCTGAAGGTCATTTCACAAACATGTTGTTTGAATTTATTGTGGATTCTCTTTCTGCTCTGGAGGATGCCGTGTTGTCTCCCGAACTTCCTTTTCCACCCCAAACCCCTGTAGCAAATTGAGACCGCCGAGTTCTATGGTGACAGGAAGAGACTGCCATCCAGGAGAGAGGATAATGTCCACATTCTGTTACTCCGTAATTATCTTCAGATAGATGAATAGATGATCTGTTGTGAAATCTTTCCTAAATGATTCATGATCCAGGGAAATCTAGGCTCGAATGTCTACAGAGAGAGCCGGGCCGTGGAGAGACTGGGGAAGACTTAGCAAAAGTGGTGGGGTGCCCTCACGTGTTCTGTGGACAAGCTCCAGACCCCTCCTCAGTGAGGCTTCCTGGGCCGAGGGAGCACCGGGCCAGCAGTTGTGTTACATTATGCATATGAAAACGTGTAGTCGTTTTAGCATAATTGAGAAAGAACCCAAAGGAAAGGGTTTTATTTTATTGTATTCTTTCTGAAGAGGTCATTATACATACTTGTGTATAATGTGGCCATGAACCTGCTATTTACCTCTGGCCCTGCTCTTTATCCTTTTTGGAATCATACATTTGTTGGGATTCTCCCAGCCGGGATTGCGGACGTGTCTGGAAAGCCCTGATGGCCTGAGATCCACTGCCCCCCCCACCCCGCCCCGTGCTCCCCAGAGGTCTGGCCCCGCCCACATCATCCGCCCCTTCGGGACGCTGTGCTTGCTCCATCCCAGCATCCAGGTGTCTGGTCTGCACTTAGTGCTCAGTGAACGTCTGCATCTTTGAACAAATTGCTTATTAAGGAGACCTGCTTTTGCTAATAAACAAGGTGAATGCAAAGACGTGTTAATTTGACTGGTGGCTGTCTCTGCTCCCCTAGGAAGTGCTCTCGGGCGTGGTGGTCATATCTGGTAAGGATTCAGTCCAGCACCAGGGAGTGTCTTTGACAGTGGAAGGAAGTGTGAACCTCCAGCTCAGTGCCAAGAGTGTGGGTGTGTTCGAGGCATTCTATAATTCCGTTAAGGTAAGGACGCTGACGTTGCACATTTTTAGTTCATTATCCCGATGTGTGTGGTGGTTTTTACTTGTTTTCTGGCTTTATTGTTGTTACCTGTCGATACTTTGCAAGGCATAGCGGTGGTCCTACTTTTTAATACTTGCTAATCAAACTGCCAAAAGATTCAGATATTTTGACTCTGAATATATCCTGCTATTGCAAGTCTGCCTGTTTTTATTCCTGTAAGATAGGATTAGGAGAACTGTAAGTAGACTGAATTCAGCCTTTAAAGACACCAGCGCTCTTTTGAGGAGTGCCTGGCTTCTGGCACTGACCTTCCTAAAACAAAACTGTTATTTGGACTATGTACGCGGCAGCTCTTGGAGTTGGTACTCAGGTAAGACGCAGATAGAGCAGTGGCCATTCTTTTCCTTTTTGTCATTTTGGGTAGAGGTGTGTGTTCCAGAATATAAACTCTTTTTCTGTGCTTAGAGTTTCCTTTTCCGGAAGGACATATTAACTCTGAGTTTTGAGGGGGAAGCAGGTCAGAGGGAAGAAAGGTTCTCATTAACCGCATTCAGATTCAGGGCCTTCCCGTGCTCTTCCCCAATCTCCGTGTTTTCTTCCAGAAGCACTCAGAGACTCACTTCACAAGTGGTAGATTTTCTGAGTGATGATAAACCAAGGCTTCGAATACATGAACTAGTTAAGGAGTGATAGCTACCTTTGGGCAGGGTCCCAGTGTAACACGGAGGCACCCAGGGCTGAGGACAGACCTGCTCCTCCCCATGCGGCGGGCGGTGGGGAGGCTCCCAGGAGGCTGGGGTCTGAGGCGGGCACAGGCTGGTGAGGAGCCCCCGGGTTCAGGTGGCAGCCCTCCTGGCCCAGTGCCTTGACTGTGCCACGTCTGCTGCTTTATTCTGAAGGTAGCAGTGCCTGGCAGGAGGGTTGTTAGGACAGCGAACAGAGCTTTTTGGGGAAAGGAGAGGAAATATGGCTTCAGATGTGCACCAAACATCTAAGCATCCGGTCCTGTGAATGAGCCATAATTGCGCCAGTGACTGGAGCCAGCTGGCTGCTCGTCTGCAGACCCAGCACTATGCTGGCCAGGACACAGGGAGGGTAGCCTCTAAAGGGCTCGGGGCTCGTGTCTTTCAGGAGATCGTTAATAGACACGCTAATTGGAAAATGCATCCAGAAGCCCGTGTTGATGGATGGAGTTGCTTTTTCTTTACAGCCTATCCAGATTATCAACAGTACCATTGAAATGGTGAAGCCAGGGAAATTTCCCAGTGGCAAAACGGAAATTCCTTTTGAGTTTCCTCTGCACGTGAAGGGCAACAAAGTTCTGTACGAGACTTATCACGGTGTGTTCGTCAACATTCAGGTGAGTTTCCTAATCCCATGCAGTTCATTTCCTGCCTGGCTTTTCCTTTGCAAAACGGCTCCGTCTTTCTTTCACTGAAAGTAAATAGGGGACCCAAGAATTTAATACTGTAATTATGCCAGGACCGCCCATGTATATTCTATTTTGATTTCTCATTTTGCTTTGCAGAACACATTTAAGGGGTGGCCATTATTTTTGATAGGAACCCCAGAGGACCCCTGCTATGACTTCTTTTAAAAAATCCCGTTGTTTCTTTTGGGCCCTGTTCCAGCCACACTGACACCGTGAGGGGTGCTGTTAGTGTTTGGTGCGCATCTGTGCCCTCACTCCTCTCTGGCACCCACACTGATTGTCTGTTTTATATGCATAAATATCTCTTTGTTAGATATCCGAAGGCTACTACTCTAACATAGGCTAGTATTCTTTATTGAACAAACCCTGTAAATGAGGGGAAGTGAATTTATGACTTCCTGTCTACCTCTGCTGGCTCAGGACGCCTTTAGCCACTATTGTCTCCAGCACAGTTTGGAGTCATGATTCAGAGGGAGCGGGCGGGAGAGAGCCTTTCCTTTATTCAGTGGAAAGAAAGGTACTTTTGTGATACCAGCTTTGCACGACTCCCCTTGCCGCGTGAGACAAAACCATTTTGTCTCTCGGATGTGCAACAGGGTGGAAAGTTAGGAAGTTTCCTGATTTATTAACTTGTAGCTGATAATTTGGTCTCGGCAAGAGACCCTTCCTCTGCCTAAAACGCACCACTTATTTATTTTTAAAGATTTTATTTTTATTTATTTGACAGAGAGAGACACAGCGAGAGAGGGAACACAAGCAGGGGGAGTGGCAGAGGGAGAAGCAGGCTTCCTGTGGAGCAGGGAGCCCGATGCGGGGCGCGATCTCAGGACCCTGGGATCATGACCTGAGCCGAAGGCAGACGCTCAGCCGACTGAGCCACCCAGGCACCCCTAAAATGCACCACTTTAAAAATACAGATCCTCAAAACACTTGTGAGAGTTTCAACTCAAAGTTTGACTGCGTGCGAGTTCTACGAAGTGCTGGAAACATGGGGTGAGCAGAAGCACGGGTCGTGTGACACCCTGCACTGCAGTCATTGTCTTTCCACCCAGAAAAACTGCATCTAGTCCTTCATTATTGGTGCACCAGTTTCAGGCAATGTGTGCACTAGAGGCTTTGGACAGCACCCAGAAGGTGACAGGAATGACCAGCTTCCTAGGTTGGGAGTACTTTCACCGCAGAAGGCAGTACTTGCAAAATGCCTTCTTAGCAAGCCTGACAGTATCTCAAACGTCTCATTCAAACGTCATATTTATTCTCTCCCCAGAATCTGCATTGCCTTGCTTTCCTGACACAGTAGCTCTTTAATACTGTTTATTCAATAACATGAGCATTCGTTCATGAGAAACCGAAGAGACTAACATTCAGGTTTCACTGGTCATACTTGTTGTGCCTTCCTCCAGTGTTCATCGTTCTTGTTAAGATATTAATTTGTTTCAAATCAAATTGGTGGGGCTCCTGGCTAGCTCAGTTGGTCGAGCACATGACTCTTGATCTCGGGGTTGTGAGTTCGAGCCCCACGTTGGGTGTAGAGATTACTTTAAAAAATAAAGTCTTTAAAAAAATGAAATTGGAAATCTCACTCTTTTCCAAATATTGCCAAGAAGGGCATGCAGATGTACAGTTGACCCTTGAACAACATGGGTTTGAACTGTGTGGATCCCCTTTACCTGGATCTCTTAGAGTGCAAATGTATGTTCTTTTCCTTATGGTTTTTTCTCTAGCTTACTTTATTGGAAGAATACAGTATATGATACATATAACATACAAAATATCTGATGTTACCGGTCAGGCTTCTGGTCAACAATAGGCTCTCAGTAGTTATGTTTTTGGGAAGTCACAAGTTATACATGGATTTTTGACTGCAGGGATCGGCGCCCCTCACCCCACATTGTTCAAGAGTCAACTGTACATAAAAAACTGTACTTGTGTCCTGCATGACTGTGTGTAAATTGGAAACTCTTTAAAATGCAATTGGAGGGTAAGCAGGTGGTGAATTCTTTAGTACGGTGTATGGATCACCCAGACCCAACCTTTACTTTGGTCATCAGATTTTACCCCTTGAGGGTTAACTTCGGAATGCTACAACTTGAATTCTCTACCTCCCCAAATATCTCACAGATTTCTAAAAATGAAGAGATTTCTTCTCATCCTGACCTCCAATTTAGAAGAGCTTATCACCTAGATTGAACATTTATTAGAATTTTGCCCTTTTTGTTTCATCTTTGTTGATCTTTCCTGAGTCATTTCGAAGTTCCAGAATCATGGCACTTGTTGAGCTACTTCACTGTCCATCTACCAAAAATAGAGATGCTCTCCTACAGGAACACAGCTGGTGTTTTCACACCTATCAAAATTAGCAAAAATTCTCAAATACCATCTCATTTCCAATTCATATTCAAATTTGTTGTTGCTCCTTTTGAGAAAACGTACTTCTTCTTTTTAGAAGATTTTATTTTTAAGTAATCTCTACATTCAATGTGGGGCTCGAACTCACAACCCTGAGACCAAGAGTCGCCTGCTCCACCCACTGAGCCAGCCGGGTGCCCCTTGAAAATATACTTCTCCAGAGAAACTAGGATGGTGGGTTGTTTTTTGTTTTTCTTTATCTGTTTTTCATTCACTGATTCATTCGTTCAGTTTCTAGAGGGGTCTTTTGCTAGCCTCCTTGTTTTATAGCAGAGCAGATGGTGACGGCCTGGGGTCCCACAGGACGTTGCCCTCCATCGCACCCTCGCTTGCTGTGCTTACCCTGAAGATTCACGGGTACATTACTAGGGACAAAGTGGTGTTAAACCTGGTAACATCCTCTTTCTCCAATTATGTGGGCGCCAAGGCATTTTACATTGGTAATTTGAATTGTGTTGTAGTAACATAATGTAAACATAGTAAAAACCGTGAGACAGAATAAAGGGTTTAAGGTGTAGCAAGTAGTATGTTTCCAGCTTGCAGGGTCTGGATTTCCGTTTCTCTCCTTAGACGGAGGCTTGGTGCCGTTTGGTCCTGTTCTTCCCAGGCGTGTTGTGTTTGTTTCTCACCTCTGTGGTTAGATCATGCGTACCAGAAGCTATCCGCTTTCCCCCAGTTGCCCTTTGTGCAGATACCTTTTCTTTTAAAAGTTACGTAAATCATAGGCAAATTTTATTATGTTTGTTCTGCTCTTGTGGCCACAGGAGCAAGGTTTTATACTATAACCCAACATTATAGCAGTACCAACATGTCTGCAAAATTGTAATTCTGAATTAATTTATCCAGATGCTAGTCATTCTGTCTGAGAGTTCAGCGGATCCTTTCTAGGAGTCTGCTTCGTGTCTGTTGACATGCATCCTCCTTCTTTCTGTTGGCCTTGTGTTTACTGACGCTCATAAGGTCCAGTCCTGCACCTCCTCCTGGCACCCTGCTCGGTCTGACCTTCCTGACCCCCTCGGACCTCTCCCAGCACCTGGACCCTCCTTAGCAGTTGGGCAAGATCATGAGAAAGTAAAAAGATCTAGGGCTTTGCAGCAGGCAGATCTGGGCTTGAGTCACAGCATTGCATAAGAATTCAGAGGCTGGGTTTTGGCAACCAGCAGGTGTAAATTCAAATCCCACCTCTGTGACCCCGAGCAGCCTTCATGACCTCTCCTCCTAGGAGATTAATGAGGTCTTGGCATAAAGAGCTTCGTTCGCACAGTGCCTGGCACATAGAATGCTCCCAGTACGTATTTGCCGAATGGCTGAATAAATGAGTTATTGGTGACTGTCCTTGTAATTCACTCAAATGGTACATGTGAAAGAATTAATGTCATTCACAGAACAGAACATCAGTGTGTTCCTCTCCTCTCCACCTTTCTCCCCACCCTCACTTAGCAGCTGCCCTGGATTACTGATTATTGCTTTCGTACTCAAAAACATTTTGTGACCAGAAGTTGATGCCTGTTGTTCTCATTCCTTTGCAAGTTGTAGAAATCCAGCTCAAACTGACTTAGCCTAAAAACAGATATCACAAATCACCAAGCTGGCAGCTCCAGGGAAGCCGGGTGTGGATCCAGCTCGGCCTTCTGCACAGACCTCGTTCTCGGGCAGGCTCTTCCCTGGCTGGGGCCAAGCTAAGCCGCTGCCTGGCAGGCTCACCATCTCCTGGTCGGCACACCCGGCAGAAAGAATCCTTCCCAACAGTCCCAGGAGCAGCCCCGCCTGGGAGGGCTCGGGGGAGGTCAGCCCCGCTAAACCCCTGAGACTAAAAATGAGGAAGGGGAAGTTGCCACTGGGACAAGGATCCAAGAGACCAGGCAAGCCTGAACAAAATGTTGCCCATGCTAGACAGCGTGTGGGCTGTACAGGAGAAAGGCGAAACACATACGTGCACACACATACACACAGATGTACTACAGGTATACGCACATGCGGGCGCACGCATACACGCAGATGTACCACGGGCATACGCACATGCGGGCGCACACACCTCTACGGATCTGATGGCACCAGGCCTCGCTGAGCTCAGTGGGTTGGGGAGACCAGACAAACCTCAGAAGAGAGCGTGTGTGTGTATATATATATATATATATATATATATATATATATATATATACACATACATGAAAAGGTCCTTGCAGGCAAGGGATGTTTCTTTTAAAAAAGTGTTTTAATCTCCTGGTGGCATCTTAAATGTCTAGTAACTTCTTATATAATGTATATAGGTTGTTCATAATAATGTAGCATCTTGAGTCAACCATGCATTTAGATACAGTCTCAGGTACATGAATCTTTTTTTTTTAAGATTTTATTTATTTATTTGACAGAGAGAGACACAGCAAGAGAGGGAACACAAGCAGGTGGAGTGGGAGAGGGAGAAGCAGGCTTCCTGCTGAGCAGGAAGCCCGATGCAGGGCTTGATCCCAGGACCCTGGGATCATGCCCTGAGCCGAAGGCAGACGCTTAACGACTGAGCCACCCAGGCGCCCCATACACGAATCGTTTTTAACAGTATTCTAAAGTTTTATCTGGATGATTAAAACAACAGCTAACTTTATTCAATATGGGTTATGTGACTTTTTTTTTGAAAGATTAGCATTAAGACTATGATCACGCTGTAGAATTTTGTTACCAATCAGCGTGTCCGCCCACAGACAGGGGTGTGAAGGAGCAGCCCCGGGTCAGACGCTTAGCTCAGGGGCCAGCTCTGCAGAGGGGCTGGCTCTCCCTGTGGGGGGAGGTACATCGGCGGTGGCTCATTCAGAAAACTAGCTCGGGGACGGCAGAGAGACCAAACACAGCTAGGTTAAAAGCTAATGTGATGCTACTTGCCTTACCTTGCTCCCTGGAATGCTAGATGCTATCCTGAGGCTCCTGGTCCTTCCTGTGTGCTTTTGAATCCTTGCTACAAAATAGCTGCTGCTTTACTAAGAGCAGCTTGCTGTCTGCCAGACTCTCACTTGGCTTGTGCTGCGAGCGGGTCTGAACATCCCCATTTTACAGAGCAGGAGGCCGAAGCCCAGACAAGTCGTCTCATCTGTCAGGGCTCCCACACCAAGATCGCTGGAGTTGAGCTAGCTTTCGCTTCTGAGTGCATGTTTTTTCTGTTCTGCCCACCCCCCTGCTCTCTCCCTGTGCTACAGCTAAGACCCTGTGCCTCTGTACCAGTGGGTCCAACTGTGGGATGGCTGTGGGACTAGGCTGAGGAATCACCTTAAAGTGTTCTTGGTTTTGGTCTTTTTATAGAAACGCCTTCATTTTGAGCATTGGCTCCCCCTATTATGTATATTAATTTCAAATAACACTGTAATTGGACCGAGTTTCCCTAAAGTACGTTGACTTACATGTCTCTTTGAATATAATTCCATGATGCAAGCAAATCACCTAACGTGACACCTCTCTGACTCCTCCCTGCAGTATACCCTGCGCTGTGACATGAGGCGGTCTCTGTTGGCCAAGGACTTGACAAAGACCTGCGAATTCATCGTTCACTCTGCCGTAAGCTATATTGGGGGGCTCTGTGTTTAATCATAGGAATCTCCTATAGGGTCTGGTATTTTACCCCATTTCTAAGCTAGTACGTTAGCCTGGTGCTGTCGTTCCTGCTGGTGAAAGAGACTCCTGCGCGGGAGATGAGGGATCTTGTTTCTCCCGGCGGGGTCAGAGCACCAGCATTGGCGTGTGCCTCGTCCCGCTGGGCCCAGAATCCCATGGGGCAATGCCGTGGCCCAGACGCCGCTGCATCTGAGGGGCTCGTGCCTCAGCCGAGGAGTGTCAGGCTGGGAGCCCACCTCTGCTAGAGCAATCAATGAGCAAGTCAGCTTCAGAGAGACACATCCTTCCTCAAGGTTGCTGTGGCAAACACAACCCAGAGCAATGGCCTGGCCCAGATAAAGAAGGGTTAGACCTTACAGTCTTGGTCTGCCCAGCAAGGACACGCGGGGGCACCCAGGGCCAGGGTGGGTTGCCTCTCCCAACACCTTCTGCTCATATTTTGCAGTGACAGAATGTTCTTAAAAATTTCCTTTCATGTGTCAGCTTAGGGAACTGGGTCCCCTTCCCCATGGCTGTAGGCAACTGTGGGTGAATTCAAGGCAGAGTCCCCTGCAGCCCATCTGCTCTACTCCTTGGTCATCGTGCAGAACTTAGCAGTGACAGGCAGTGCCTGCTTCAGGTGTGACACGTGGTGACAGATGTCCACTACGCTGGAGTCCCCTGTTTTATCTCCCCGGGCTCTCCAGGGCTGGTATCGGAGCAGCTGCTGGGCCTTGTCCTCCCCTCCCTGGGCTGTGTGCGCACACCTCTGGTTCGGGGCTGGTCCTGCCCCCTTTCTCAGAGCCAACGGCAGCCTAGCTCCCTCCTTGAAGAGCCACCTAGCCTCAGAATGTGGTCCATCTGCCTTTGATTTAATTCTGAGCAGTTTGGGGACAGAAGAGAGCCAAACTGGGGTTCCTGGAGATGCCCGGGTGAACGGAACCTGGACGTATGTATGGATCCCATGGGGCTGCAGGCCGTGTCAAGGTGCCACCCAGACTGGACAGACACAAGGGCCACTAGCTTTCCTTCGCTCATGTACCCGGTGCAGCCTGTAGCTTTGTTGGCATTGAGCGGGACTCATCACCCTGGGGGCCCCGCACGGGTCCCACAGTCTTTGCCACGGGCCTTATTAGTAAGTGGGGGCTTCTCCAGAGCTCCATGGTGAGGCAGCTTGGTGTTTGTGGAACATCTGCAATTGCATTTCTTTTACACTGTTATGAAATGTCCACAGGTGTCTTTTAGTAATGGTTCAGTAAAAACGGAAGACTCACGTCGCCTGTGTATAAGATTGGCAAAATCACTGATGTCCTTTATTTGCATCATTTTTGACTTTTTGGGACTTCCAACATTTATAGTTTTCCTCTTACTAATAATAATTACTCTGTTTCTTTTAGTGTTGAAATAATTATCTTTTTTTGGAAGTGATGTGATTTAGACATTTTCCTTTTTTCTATCAAGGGTCGTCAAACTGAAGCAAAAAAAAATTTTTTTTTCATGTGGATTATTCCGTAGAAGAGACATACACCTTTTTATGTCTTCAGCAAAGAAAAGCCTCCAACTTTGTGAAGGAGAATGAGCCCAAGTTCAGCTCCCTGCCCACAGCTGGGCTCCAGGCCAGGATGCCCCTTGGCCCCGGACCCAGGGCCCACAGCACACTCATGACTGCAGAGCCCCGCCGCCCGGGCCAGCTTAGGGTGCGCAGCAGGGACAGAGGTCTCGGGGCCTCCTCCCTGCTCCCCAGCAGCTTACCAACACACAGCCTCCAAGAAGTCTGTTCTTCTTTGTGAATGATTTCATGAGAAGGCCAAACCATGTGTCAGCTCTAGTTGACAAGTTAAATCCTTTAAATGCTGTGAGGAAGAATATGTTCCCTGAAGAGTGTGTTCCCGAACCTGTTAATAAGAAGAATATTGTAGAATACGCTTTCAGGAAATGAGTAAACTTGGCAGATCAGCCAGTGCCCTTCCTCCACCACGGCCCCCCCAGCCTGTGGATCCTGGCGCCTGAGTGCGCCTCGCCAGGCAGGCCCTGATGACGCTTGGCCGCCCGGGTGGCTTCTGTGGTTATGTGATGTGGGATGACCATCATTCATAATTATGGTAACATTTATAGTTTAGATGAGCGAGCCTTCCCGGTGGACAGCTTCCCCGTGGCTAACAGCACAGTCGGAGCCTGGCCCCCTGGGTTTGAGTCTCGGCTCTGCCACTGGAGAAAGCCATGTGGGCTGGCCGTGCTTCACTGTCCATGTCTGTGAAGTGGGACCAGTGACAGGAACAGCACCCCATAGCATCATCGTGCTGGTTTGGTGTCAGCTCTTGTTCTAAGAGGGGTTTAAGATAAATACCTTCCAAGAATGCTACTGTCAGTTCTTAGGTCTAACTTTTAATTTCTGGACCCAAAGGGGCCCCGAGAGATTAAGCAAGGGGTCCCCTCATTTTACAGATGAGGAAACTGAGTTGCAGGGGGTGTTTTAAATTTGACAAAGAACACAACATAGATTTTTGGCAGAACTATGCTTTTAGACCCCACACGACCTGCCTCTGAGTACCAAGTCCTTCCCGATTCATTATGCTGCCCTTCGTTTCTCTAGAAGGGGAAAGGGGAGTGTGGCCTGTGGAACTCTTGGCTTGAAGCAGCTGATTTGGGTTTTGCCTCCTGTTTTAGCCTCAGAAGGGGAAGTTGACCCCGAGTCCTGTGGACTTCACCATTACACCTGAAACCCTACAGAACGTCAAAGAGGTACGGCGCTCCTCACCCCTGCGTGCCTCACCACTGCATCCCGCAGACACACTGTTGCCCAGTTCTTTATTCGAACATCAAGTCGCTGCAAGACGAAATTTCAGATTATCGTCTCTACCCAAAATAATCTGGATTTCAGTTTTGATTTCTTTTTAAACTCAGTAAGTACTGAGAAGAAGAATGCTTCTGAAAAGCTGCTCAAGGAGGCTGTCTGCTCACTGTGCTTTCCCCTCCCTTCTCCCTGGTCTATACCGCGTGGGGCTCAGAGCCCCTCTTCCCTGAGCCCCGGCCACTCCCGCCACCCGTCCTGGGAGCTGCACCCCTTTACTTCGTAGTTGGCCGCCTGCTGTCTTGACATCGAGGCCGAGGCCCATGGCGGTTCTCCTTGCTCTCCGGACCCTGTTGATCAGCAAGTCGGGGAGGTTTCCCACTCCCTGGGGAGGCACAGCTGAGGCAGGGGTGCAGCCTGGGGGGGCCTCTCCAAAAGTCCATTTACTGGAGGGGACGAGTCCCCCGCGGACCGGTCAGCTTGTTCTCTCACAGGGATTTAAACGTGACAGGAAGCATACAGGGAGCGTGGGTGGTCATAGGCATTGCAGCCCCGTGGCCGGGACCTCGCCGCCCTGCTTCCTCTCCGGCCTCGGCTGTTAGCACCCCATTGGCCCTCGTGCTCTTAAGTGGGTTTGTGTTTCTTCCTTCCGTGAATCTCAATAACACAAAACTCAGTGACAGAACTGGAGTGAGGAAGAGGAGCGGCTCAAGTATGTCTTATAAAGAGCTCCTGGCTGGAGCTTGCAGTTTGTTTTGTTCCTTGTATCTTGTCTCTGCGTTACTTTATTGTTTTCCTTTTTCTTTCTTCCTGTCCTCACTCTGAGGTCGTGAGGGTTTTTTTTCTGTTATCCTGCTGGCTTGCTCCTTTTTCCTCTCCCATCCTTTTTCTGTTTTCCTAATAGTCACCCCCAAACGTTCAAACATAGAGACACTCGTGAGTTTAAGTAACAACACCAAGAACAAGAACCTTCTGCCAGAAGGTTTGTAACATTTTTGCATTTTCCTTCCTTCATACCCCTCTCGTTTGTTGAAATGGTCTGAAGTCTAAGTTCCAGTTTATCTGTTTTATTTTTCCCAGTATTAAGCCTCTCTTGGCTTAGAAACTATTTCTAATCGTTGCCCGAAGTATCACAGTCATGATTTGGCCACCCCTGAATTACTGGAAGTTTCACCGTGGTCATTGCTCACCTCTGCTTCCTCTCACCTTCTTTTCTTTCTTCAGTTTTATTTTTTGTGCTGCTGGAGTACATCCTAGAGTCATTCTTTCTGAACAGGTGAGGAGTGAACTTAACATCCTTGAGTGTCTAACAGACCCCTGACTTTGCTCTCACACTGAACCCTAGTTTGTCTAGGTAGATGGAAGCGTCTGGCTTCAATTTCATTTGCCCTTAGAACTTGGGAGAAGAGCTCCCTGGTTTTCTGGTACCTCGTGATACTGATGATCTGATCCCCAAATTTGTGTGAGCTCATCTGTTTCTCCTCCCTCTCCCTCCCCCCCAGTCCGGAAAATTCCAGCATCTCCCTATCCTTAGCGTTCTGGAATGTCAAAGCCCTTGCCAGACTCGGGTGTTTAATTAGTCAGTGCGCCTGCCGTCTTTCCTTCAGCTCAGTGAACTACTCTCAGGGTTTCTTAGATGTGTCACCGGAGAATCTTGGTGTGGTCTTTCAGCTCACTCGTTTGCTCTTTGGTTGGTATGCCGCCCAACTGTCGACATGTTCACTTTGGCAATAGCGTGATTCATCTCCAAACACAGTTTCTTTTTCAAGATAGCCCTTCTTTTACTGCAGATGCACAGCCCTTCATCTCTGTTTCCTAGGGCTGGTTATTCTGTTCGTGGAGTGTGTACCTCTTTCTTGCTCGATTTCCTCAACTGTTCATTGATTCTTGGTTGTCAGCTTATATTTATAGAGGAGGATCAAATAGGTATGCCCTTGTTGACTAGACTCTCTGTCCTTCACCCACATGATAGTCTGTCCTTCTGGTTGTAAATGCACACTCTGACAGAGGAGCTTTGCTGCTGGGGAAGAGGCCTTCGACCCCGTGAGCTTTCTTTCAGGGTGTTCGGGTAGCTCGTTGTCCTGCATTGTGGCTGTAAATGGCTGTAAATGCTTGCCGTGCCTCGCCCAACCTGCTTTGGGGGGGTCCCGGGGGGGGGGGGGGGGGGAAGTCCCCTTGAGGGAAGCTGTGGTGGCAGCCGGGGCACCTGCTGACCCCAGAGGCCACTCACAGCCCCCCAACTGCCCCTTTCCCAGGTGGGCGCTGCCTCTGATCTCAGAGCTGCCCTGGGCCCTGCTGGGGATGCTCGTGTGCCCCCGACCTCAGGACGTGGTCCCCTGAGCTCTTGGGAGCCTCCCTGTACACTTTCATGCACAGAAACACTTCGCTGGGGTTGTCTCCGTGTGGCGTCCCACATAGGCTTTCTCGGTATAGTTTATTTTTATTTGTATATGTTAACATCACACCCCTGGGAGGAAAGGGTAAAATGAAGGTTCAGTCAGGATCTTAGGCCGGATGTGGAGAGCTTTTCTTTTTCATCAGTTGCCTAAAAGAATTTTAATGTAGATTGCTACTGCTTTTTATTTTTCTAAACAAATAGCTTCTTTAGTTTTAATTGTTGTTAGAACTTTGTCTTGCATCAAGGCTTTTCTCGAGCTCTCTGCCTCTGGGCCACGAGGTACAGAGCTCCCTCCTGTCCAGTTCCATCGCCCACGACGGGTGAACACCAGCCACGGCAACCACTGGCCCTCAAGGTGTGGCTGGTCGGAGCCGAGCTGGGCTGTAGATGTAAGGTGCTGACTGGATTTCAAAGAGGAAGAGAATATAAATGTAATTTTTTAATACTGATTACATGTGGAAGTGATATTTAGGATATATTGGTTGATTTTAGCTGTTTCCTTTTACTTTTTAAAATATAGCTACTAGAAAATTTTAAATTACTTCCGTGGCTCACATTTGTGGCTGCATTTTGTTTCTGAGACAGTGGTGCTCTAAACTCTAACTTAGCTTTAGCACCTAGGACCAGCAGGGTGACGTGTTCTAGGACAGTTGCTTCCCACAAGAGCGTCATCATCTACCCATGACGGGGTTCCTAGGTCTACAGAGGAAAGGTCTCAGTCAAGCGTTGGTGAAAATTGTTCTCTTTAAATGTCCTTGAAATAAAAGAAGTGACTTAGCTTTTCAAAATTGCATAATTGGGAGCATTTTTCAATTGATTCTCTTTTTAAAAAATGTTTTGGGGCTGGTGTGTGACCGATTCCCTGTAAACACTCCTGGCAACTTCTTCGGGAGTTTTCATGTCGTATCGCTTGGTAAGAAGGAGCGTTCCAGGTCAGATCGAGGCAACCAGGAGGACCCTGTGGGAGCTGGCCGTTCAATCCAGCCAGAGTCAGCGCCAGGGATCTGCAGACAGTTGTTAAATAATTCAGTCTGTTCATGAACTTGACAGGAGATACAAGTACCATTGTCCCTTTTCCCCATTTTGTAAAATAGGGCCCCAGGGGATTTTATAAAAATCGCCCAACTTTGTTTTCAGTTTTTATTTGTACCAAGTGACTGAATCTGGAGTGATTTCCCTCGACACTTTCCATTCCCGATGTCTTGTTTTTGTTTTGTTCTAGAGAGCCTTGCTCCCCAAATTTCTCATCAGAGGGCATCTCAACTCCACCAACTGCGTCATCACACAGCCGCTGACAGGGGAGCTGGTGGTTGAGAGCTCGGAGGCCGCCATCAAGAGCATAGAGCTGCAGCTGGTCCGCGTGGAGACCTGTGGTAAGGGCCCACTGAGGTCGGCGTCTCACACGCCGCAGTGGAAGCAAAAGTAAGAGCGCACCCCTCAATTCCAAGAAACGTCTGTCTGGGAAGTTGAGATGTGGACGGGAGGGAACTCCAGACCCTGTAGAACCAGTAGCAGAAGTGGTCACCGAGGGCCTCTTGATCAGGCTGTTCGGACGTTCCCTGTTCTCTGAGCACACGGTGCTTTCTGCCTTCTGCAGGGTGTGCAGAAGGCTATGCCCGAGACGCCACAGAGATTCAGAATATTCAGATCGCTGATGGAGATGTGTGTCGGAGCCTCTCCATCCCCATCTACATGGTGTTCCCCCGGCTGTTCACCTGCCCTACGCTGGAAACCACCAACTTCAAAGTGGGTAAGCATACCAGCTCCCCATGCCCGTGGGCCCGCCGGATTCTCCCATGATAGTGGGGCCCACAGAAGGGCCCCCGAGCACCCCCGAGGCAGACACACTGGTCTGCTCTCGGCTGGCTCAGCGCAGAGCACTGGATCCTCCGGTTGCTCAAGAAAAGCTCCCTGAGAAGCTGCTGTACCCGTCCTGAGGCAGCACCACCCTGTCGGTGCGGGCTAGGGCAGGGACAGTGACGCCGCCAGGAGCAAGCCTGCAGGCAGCGTGAGGAGGTCAGGGAGGCTCCTCGGATAGGCTGGCATCTGAGCGGAGACTCAAGTGTGACAATCCCGTGTGAGCGCTGATCATCGCGAAGGCTTCCGTTCCGCCAGCTCAGGATGTCTTGGTCATTTTCCATGATTAGTTATTTGTGGAGACCCTAGAGTGCTTTTATCGGCAATGTTGTGTCAGAGCAAGCACATAATGGGGTCAGGACATGCACCTCAGGAGCAAAGAGGGGCATAGAGTCAGCTCTGCCAAATACCGACAAGGACGGCGACGTCTGCTGGAAGGCCGCACGGGGGCAGATCTGGCCCAAGCTAAGCTGCCATGACTGTTCTCAAAAAAGATGTGCATGATTATTATCGAACAGGTAGTCTACGCCCACAGTACAGGGAGCGAGGCGCCAGGGGGCTAGAGCGCAGGGTGATGCCCTCGGCTGCCCAGGCACCCCCAGACCAGCCTGCCTCGCGCCCTCCCGAAGGCACTCGCACGGCGACCAGCACAGTGTTCTCAAGGCGATATTTTACTTCAGAGTCCTTTGATTTCAAGTTAGAAGGGGGAGCTTATCTGTTGATTTCTCCCTTGGTTTTTCTACATAAACTTCAAGAGGACTAAACTTTTTTTTCCTGCTACGCTCTACTTTAAGCACCTAGATTTCTGCCTGCTGTTTCTATCAGATTTAGAAAGTGTCCACGTAACGTTGCTTGCAGTGCCTGTAATCAGTAATGCTCCTTATGCCTGATCCTTAGTTTCGTCTGGTTTGAGGCTCGCCACACAGGAGTGCCCGCGGCAGGGGGTGGGCACGATCCCAGAGCGCCGCGGCCTCCCGTGGGCCCAGAGCTGCTGTCCGCGTGGCCAGCCAAGGTTAGGCTCTGAGTCTCAGGTGGGGAGGTGGGAGCGAGCCCCAGGTGCCGAGTTACGAGCAGAATCCGCATGTGCCCCCTTCATCTCTGCCGGTGCCCACACCTTTGGTGCGCAGTCGGGCCCGAGGCCGGCCTCCAGCCCGAACCCGCCCAGAGTTTAGGGTGCCCCGGGGGAATGTTTGCTCTGCCATAAGGAAAGCCAGCACCAGCTCCCTAATGTGGGCCTTGCATGCCTGCTGGGCATCCAGTCACACCACGCTCCCTCCAGGGGAGGACAGCAAGGTACGTGGGGGAATGGTGGCAGAGAATGGGGACCAGAATCCCAGAGGGCCATTCTAGTGTCGTCACGATTATCAAAGTGAGCAAAGTAGGCCAGTGCTGCGGGCGCACGGCCTCTGTCATGGCCAGTGTTTGGCGGAGGCAGCCAGCCACACGCTGGGACATTGTCCTCAGGACTCCGGCCACTGGGGTCTGCGATGCGGTGACGCCGAAGCCCCTTCCACAGGGCTGAGCTGCTTCGGTGCTAGGCCTTCTCCCTTTGGCACGAAGCTCCCTGCTCGTGCACACCCCTTTCCTCTTGTCAACAAGAGACGATTGTGTAAACAGGTGTCTCAGGTAAATGAATCACTGCCCAAACAACAGCAATTAAACTGCACGCTGTTTCTGGACACTGTTTCTCATTTGGGGTGGGAGACGTGTACCCGGGCGGCTGGGCCCGTCAGGGGTCGGCTCTTCTGTTAAGAACTGTCACAAGTGGAAAAATAAAGCAAGAGAGTCTGGAAGAACCGAAAGGATTTTAGAAGATTCTAGTAAAGACAGAGGACAAGGGAGGTGTGGTTGGGAAGCAGACCCCTTACTGTCCCAAGGCCAGGAGACACGTTTCCTTACAGAAAGCATGCCAGAGGCGGTCAGAGGCCAGTGTCGCTGTCCTCGCTGGTTCTCTCCTGGAAGCTTGGGGTGATATACCTGGGACGCAGATGCGGACACCCCACGGCACCCAGCGCCGGCTGCCCCCCAGCCTTTCGGAGCCGCCTGTGGTGCCGTTGGCGTGGGGTGTCTGCCTCTGGGGCAGGTGAGCATAACGCCCGTTCTTTCTCCTCTCAGAATTTGAGGTTAACATTGTTGTGCTGCTTCACGCGGATCACCTCATCACGGAGAACTTTCCACTGAAGCTCTGCAGGATGTAGCCGGGGAGCAGGGAGCGTGGACAGCGAGAGAGGCCAAGCGGACGTGCCACAGGGTAGCTGGCGCTCACGGGAGTTCAAGCCAGCAGCATAGGCTTATTTTCGAGATGATTCTGTATCAGAAATGAATCTGACCCCTCAGATTACAATGTTCCCCATTTCCTCGAGGCTTCTGCTTCCAGTGGGCACCTCTGATCAGACCCTGTCTCTAAACTTCATCGGGACTTCGTAACTGTTGTTGGCAAGATCGTTTCGCAGAAAGCAAAATTTCCTCAGACTCCTGGCTTAACTGGCCTTTTACAGAGCAGTAAAATGTAGCAGCAGTGAAGCTTGGCTGGGAAGGGAGGTCCTGGGGACAAAGGAAACCCGCCCCACCTGGCCAGCAAGGGTAGCTAAGCCTCTGGCTGCAAAGCAGCTTCGCGGGACGGTGGCAAGCCGACCGGTTGCTTATGATGTTTGTAGACAACCATCCAAGGAGGGCTGCACAGCGGCATCCGCTGGAACCGTCCAGCATTTTTTCCACTCTGCTCTGTAGTTCTTTTATCGCAGTTTTCACGATGACTTCAGAACGTTGAGCGTTCCTGGCTGTCGCAGGAGGAAACAGCGGCTGTCCGCACCTGCCGTTGTTGGGTGGGTTCCAAATGGCAGGAGACGGGTGCCCAGGGCCAGAGCTGAAGACCCCGGGCAGATGCCCTGGACCTGTGAACTTGGCCTGCCCCCGGGGTGAAGCCGTTGTGGCTCGTAGTGTATGGAGAGCCTGTAGCAACGCATTTCTGCCATCTGATCCTGTTGGTCCACAATGAATGAGGCCTCAGAAATAAGCTGTGTGCTTTGCACGCCGTCGGGCCTTCCCCGACAGTCCCTCCACCCGGGCTGGCCTGAGCAAGGCGGCCCGGCCGATGCCCCCCCCGCCCCCATGCCCGGCTGTGCTGCCATCGTCCTGGGACCGTGTCTGAAGACACGTGACCCTGAGGGCAAACAGACCTGACTCAGGTGCTGCTTTATCCCAGGGCTTCACCAGTGAAACCGATACAGCGTATTCACGGAGTCGTTTCTGATTTGGCTCCCAGAGAATACGTTTCTGGTTTATAAATCTCTTTTTATGCTCACATGACATTAACAAGTATCTGTCTTTGATAATGTGTTCAGAGGATTGGAAAACAAAGAGGCCATACTTTCTGGGACATTTCAAAGGTAGAAATCATTTTTAATGAAAAAAAAGGCTAAATGAGAATTTTGAGCAAAGGTTTGGGATGAATATTGCTATATCACTTCTTTAGTAAACTGCTTTTATGGATATAAATAAGACAAGTGTTCTTCTTAGGGAACGGCTATTAACTGAAGACCAGCCCGCGCCCTGGCTGCTTTCATTTTCATCTCATTCGATCCTGAGTGGCCTAGACAAGGGCCTCGGGCTGGCCATGTCCTTCCCCTGCTTGGCCAGCACCTCCCATTGGGGCTTAAGGAGAACAGAGATGTTTGGCTTTCGGGGCGGGGGCGGGGGGCGTCCACTGTTGGAGCCTCGGGGTTGTCAGATTCTCCCATTAGAGCAGCGGGATGGGAGGGGAGGGGAAGGAAGGAGTCTGAACTGCGAATCCGTAACAGTATCTTGTTCGGGAAATAAATGCCCTGTAGGCAGCCACACATCCCGGCTGTCCGAGCTCCCGCAGCAATGGGGCCTGGCTCCCATTCTCGGCCACGTTGCGAGTTCCAGAGTAAAGGCAAGGGGTACATCAGAAGTCAGATGTAGAAAAGCTGAAGCGTTTGTGCCGGAATTCGCCCAGTTGGTGTCCCAAGCCTGCCGGCTCTGGTAGCTGCTGGGAGATGGAGCCCTGGTGTCCCTTCTGCCTCCATCATCGGCGTCTCTAAGTCCCAAGGCCGAGTCTGAATTGTCCTCTTAAAACTTTGGGGGATAGGATTACCTCCGCTCGCTGGCAGGGATTTGGGCTGCAGCAGATTGCTACAGTCTGGGATCCCACGATCCCCTTCAGATTCCCCCTTCTTCTGAAATAAGGCTGTGCTTCCATGAACCCACGGCCCCCTGGCTAGGGACTGACTTCCGACTCCTTGGCTGCTGGGTGTGGTCCTGTGACAAGGACAGGAGCCCCTTCACGCGGCTGGACCAAGAACAGGCCTGCGACCTGGCCCAGCCCGTGCTGGAGCTCGGTGCCGTCGGGGATGGCAGAGAAGCAGGACACCCCCCCTCCCCCAAACAAATGTGTAAGAACAGCTCACCTCCCTGCCCTGGGTTGTCACAGGAGAGAGAAAGGAGGGGACTTGTCTCCAGGCCACCGGATTGCTAGGGGTCTTGGCAGCCCAGCCCCCACCCTGGGGCTCCTGACCAGAAGGCCCGGAGTTCCCATTCCAGGGCCTAGTGCCTCGCAGAGCCTGAGGTGCACATGCGTGTAGAACAAAGAACTACCCCTCCCGTCTTCATGACCATCCTCTGAGCCGAGAAAGGACTTGCAGACTCTCAGGGGGCCAGAACCTTGCTGGAGCCAGCTGGTCAAGTGCCAGGGCGGGTGTAGGCCCAGTGCTCCCTGCAGCCACCACTACCCCCCGTCCAGTGGCCACTGGACCCAAGTGGACCCAGCCCTACCCAGAAGACCTTCCCTGACCTGAGTGGAAGGAAAATGGGCAGGTTTTCACTGGTACTAGTCAGGCAGCTAAAAAAACGAAGTTCTTGGTTTTCCTAGAGACAAGTATCCATACTGAGAGTAAGTCCTGGGAAGACAACTGTGGTGCATCCCTTCTCCATCCTTCGTTTTGGGAGAAGAGCTGCAGTGGGTTCTCGGGGCGTCTGTGGAGGGGGAGGGGGGCACGCGCTGCCGTGCTCCAGGGAGCTCAGCTCCGCTGGTTCCAAGGTGCTGGCGTGTTCGGAAATACCAGCTACAGCTTTGGGTCCAGTGAGAGTAAGCTCCACGAGCATTCATGGTGGTTTGGGATCAGGCCCTGTCCTAAGTGCACGTATCATGTGACTGTGGGAATCCTAGGAGGAGGGAAAGGCTACCTGCATTACTGCCGAAGGGATCGTCACTGATGGAAGTCACCTGTCTGTGTTTCCACACACTTTCCCGAATCCAGGGGAGCTCGTTCAATGTGGTCCAGTTTTCCCAGCACCAAAGCCCAGGCCACCCTTGCCCCACTTCATTTGGGCTTCACTTTGCCTTGTCGGCGACATACTTTTCTTCTTGTTTCCTCCTGTTTCCCCATCACACGTTGCCCATGCCACCATAGCTGTTGAGGGCAGCCAAGGGCTCTGCTACCTCTGTTCACAGTGATTGCCTCAGCTTTGATGAGATGAATCAAAGGAAGATGAAATCATGAGACAGGAAATCGTTTGCAGCTGGACGCAGCTTAGGAATAAGGTGAGTGTTTAAAGGCCCAGAAGTCCCAGGTAAATCACATTCTAATCCTGATTTCCTTTATTGAAAGTGAAAATATCAGGGAATGTTCTAGACCAACTCAGACCACTATAATGTCCTTTAGTAATGACCTCACAATAGCCTTCTGAGGGGGTTTTGTTATCCTCACTTCACAGCTAAGCAAGCTGAGGCACCGAGAAGCTGTGCCCAAGCCACATCGCTCTGCTGATTCCCTGGCCCAGTACCCCCCCAAACAGCCCCAACTTCCCCTACCAATAGAGAATTAGAGTTAGGTAGCCATTGCCCAAGGTGCACGTGATCTTGTTCATGGAGCCGCCATTCATTCTTCATGAACCACTGCTGTCAGAGCCACTCTTCATAATTCCCACTGATTGTCCACAAGGTCAGAGAACATTTTATGTGAAGAAATATCTCCATGGTAAGGCTCATCCAAGCCAACGGATGTTGGGGCTCAAGATTTAGAGGTGAAAAATCACAAAGAACAACTGCTTGGGGAAATGCTCTGTGAAAGGAAGGCCAGTTTTGAGTATAAATTCTGTAACCCCAAGTGGTCAAAACTAGAGACGTGAGTAGAAAAAAAGTTACGCATGTGGGTCTAAGAAGTGGAGGTGAGAATGAGCCTCCTGGGTCAGTGTCTTCTCCCCTGTGACCACAAGGCTATTCATATTCAAGACTGTCAGAGTGGCTGAAATATTGAGAGAATGTGACTTTACTAAGAAACCTAAGGGCACCCAGTTTGTAGACTCAAAGTTGATCCAACTACCATTTACATAAAATGCAATCAAATGATGGAGTAAAGGCAAACAGGAATGAAAACTCAGTGAGGAGCCCTGACACCCTCCAGTGCTTTCCTGTGAATGTTGCTGGTAAAATGGGGACACCTTGCAGCCCTGTCCAGGTAGACAGGATCCTGTGTTGTGAGGTTTTTCATACCCAAACCCAGCCAGTCCCTCTGAAACCTTGCATGTAACATACCAAGCAATACTCTGGAGGTTGTAAGTACTTAGAAGAGTACAAGGACATAATTTGCACCTGGGTCTGTAAAACTCTTGTCAGATTTGGGGGAGCACCTGCTTGACCAAGACCAAGGGAGCAGAAAACACCAAAATGTTTGGTTTGCCTATGATCAGCATCCACTGTCACTTCTTCCAGTGACGGCTCTGTTCAGTTCCCTCGACAACGTCTAGCAGGGGCGGGAAGCTAGAGTTCCCTGAGGCAGGGTTTGTTCAGCGAGGGCCCCACGAGGTGGGATGTAGTCACCTCCTTTCTTGGGGGTTGCCAGCTGGGAGACAAGGACCAGAGCTTCAAAACCATCACCTCTGGGTCTTAAGTGATGGAATGGGACCAGCTTCCTGTTTCAGATGAGCAGCCACTGATCGGGCCACCTGAAGGAGGCTGGGCCAACAGCCTAGACCTAACTGTTTCCTGATGTACTGAGAAAAGGATGCGCTCAGACTTAGTTGTGGAAAGGTGGTAGGAAAAAGCAAAATCAAGTATTCATTTTGGTTTTAAAATAGTTTTCAGTATCGGTCTGTATTAAAACCCAAATTTAAAACCTAGTACACAAAAACAGATACATTTAAGAGATGAGCATTTACTTCCTAAAGTATCTATCACTGCCTTCCCTTATATCTTACAGAAAATACATATATTTTTTAATCCATGGAAAATTTGCAAAAATCAGTTATACATTCTTACAAAAAAGAAAATCTCAATAAAAATTTAAAAAGTAGAAACTGCCAAAGCCACGTAGTCTACCATATTGCAATAAAATGAGAAATTAATACCAAAGGGAAAATCAAATTCAGTATAACCACTTGTAAATTTTTAAAAAGATTTTATTTATTCATGAGAGAGAGAAAGAGGCAGAGGCAGAGGGAGAAGCAGCCTCCCCGCAGAGCAGGGAGCCTGATACGGGACTGGATCCAAAGGCAGACACTCAACGACTGAGCCACCCAGGCACCCTACAACTTGTAAATTTTATAACATTCTTCAAAAAGGAAACCAAAACTTCATTTGCAGACCTTTTAAAATGTAATGAAAATGAATATATACTGTATGGCAAAGAGCTTTGCGCTGTGGCCAGTGCTGCAGTCAGAGGATAATTCATAGCCTTACGTGTTTTTATTATACTGGAGAGAATGAAAACTGAGTTAAGCACCCAAATGTCTAGAAAAGCAAGAACAAAAAAAGAATGACAATAAAAGCAGTAATTAACTGATAGGAAAGCAAAACTATTGGAAAATTTATAAATAATTCCATGAGTTGGTACTTTGAAAAGACTGATTCAATTGACACATCTTTAATAGAACAAACTAAACACAAAGAGAGAAAAAGAAATATAGAACACTAGGAACAACTTCATATAAAAAGCCTGATAAGTTATATTACAGTATGTACCTCCCCTGCTAATAAATTTGCAAACTTCAATAAAATGCAAAGCAAAGTGACTCCAGAAAATATAGGCTATGAATAAAATAATAGCCTTGGGAAGAAACTGAAAAAAATTGGCAAGTATAGTGGGTTTTTTCTTTCTTTCTCTCTTTCTTTCTTTCTTTCTTTCTTTCTCTCTTTCTTTCTTTCTTTCTTTCTCTTTCTTTCTTTCTTTTTCTTTCTTTCTTTCTTT